TCTCCTCCTTTCTCATGCCACCGGTTGAAGAGTAGCTATGGAAGCCTCTTCTGGAGAGAAGCGTTGCTGCGATGGGAGCTGTTCATTCACTCATTGAACCAGTTATGACTTTGTGCTATGTCACAGGCACTATTCTAGGCACTGGGACTACTTCAGTAGAGCTTATAATTTGGGGGAAAGAGAGATAGGCAATAAGCAATGACTGTAATAAATAATTAAATCAACAGCTTTTCAGAAAGTCTTGAGTACTATTTGCCATTTAGATTCTCCTGCAGATGACGATGATGATGATGATACCAACCAGAGATAATACTCAGCTGCACTGCCCTACATCCTCAGTATGTGACCTATTAGCTAACAGCTATTCATTTAATCTTCACAACACACAGGCAACTCCTCTTATCATCTACATTTTACAGATGCAGCAATCAAGGCACAGAAAGGTTAATTCACCCAAGATCATATTATAGTTTAATATAGGATTGCCTATTTAGTAAACTTCCAAATTGATACGACCAGTCCCATGTCTAAGCGTTGTGAAGGAAACGCTCTCAACTGTCCAGGGCACTTGGTGCCAGCCAGGGGCAGTTTGCATATTGACACAGCATTGAGTGGGGAGCAGGAACTGAGAGAACTCAGCGTGGAATCAGGGAAAATGGAGAGTGGTCCTTCTATAGGAAAAAATAGATACATCCACCTCCAACAGTAGATTGGAGGATTATTTCTGTTTTCCTTCTTGCCCCCAAATGGCCCCCTTTGGTTATCACCATGGTGGGAATGGTGGAAGAGAGATAAAGTGCAGAGATGATTATGGCAACAGTGATTTGGTTGGGGAGGCCACTGTAACTGTACAGGAGAATAAAGCCAGGCATTGGCTCTCAACCATCACGATGGCTGGGCTATCAATTCTCTGGAATTTCATTCTAGCACATCAACCATGTAATGGTAACGTCCCTGAGTTGCATTTTAATATTCATCATCTCTCCCCAGGTTTGTATTTACCCGAGACTGTTATATGCCTTGTATTCATATCTTCCCTTTTAAGATTTTTCTGGGGCAAAGAAATAGGTTACAACTAACTCCATACAGATACTTGGTCAAGGACACTAGATAAACTATCGTTTGAATAGTTACTTCTGTACACGGGCTAGACCACAAATGCAGATTGCTTTTGTACTAAAAGATCCTCTCTCTTCCTGTGTACCTATCACCAAAAATTAGAAGTGCTGAACTTCAGTAGTTAGATGTCTTGAGTGCAGAGAGCTGCATGCTTATTTCCATTTTCCTGTAAGACTGGATTTATTGGCTCACCACAAATCACTGCTTTTATTGAGCACTTACTATGTTGCAATGTGCTATGTAGACACCTCTATGTGATATCGCTTTTAACCTTCATAACAGTAGTTATTGTTATCTCCATTCAACAGATAGCAGAACAGAGACCAAGACAGAAAAAATACCTTGCCAATCTCTCATTTTGGTAAGACCAAGATCCACAGGACTTTGAAGCTTTCAAGCTCTAAAATTCTTTGTTAATCTACTTCTCAGCCTCTCCTGAGGCAGTGAGAATTTCAGACTGAGAGATTATCTGATTCAATTCTTTGTTTTATACACGACAAGTGGAGAGACTTGTGTAAGAACACAGTAAAGGATGGTGGAACCATATGCCTCAACGCAACTAAACAGAATTCCCACCCACATGCATGAGCCATGTATCCATTCTGCATTGAGGAAGCAGAAGGTGAACTCTGGAATCTTAAAAATTATTTCAAGGTAAATATGGCAAGTTCATAAGTTTAGAGATCAAAGAAAGAAAGAATTCAGTATAATTTCCAATTAAAAGAGAAACAGGAATGGTCACCTGAAGTATGTTTGAGGATAGACTGAAAAAAAGGAAATTTGGGGGAGAAAAAGAAAAGTTCATGTGAGTGTGAGTGTGTGTGTACACATTTAGCTTAATGTGACAGTGAAGTGGCCAGAAAAAAAATCTAATGAAATGACCAAGGATGTAGGAAAAGCCAATGCCTGGGTGTGCCTGGATAGATACACAACATTGCTCGCCTTGGGGGTGGGGTAGTGTCAAGAGGGAGTCACTCTTTCTGTCTTTTCATTTTTTTCCTTTTTATTTATTTATTGGAGACAGAGTCTTACTATGTTGCCCTCGGTAGAGTGCTGTGGTGTCCCAGCTCACAGCAACCTCAAACTCTTGAGCCCAAGCAGTTCTCCTGCCTCAGCCTCCCAAGTAGCCGGGACCACAGACACCCACCACAACACCTGGCTATGTCTTTTCATTTTGTGCAAGCTAAAAATGCCTAGTGTCTAACTTCTGAAAGTTGATCTATGGTTTTGTTTCATAGAAAAAATAGAACAAAATGAGTCTTCTTGATATCTGCATGGTTTCTACAAGAACCTAAATTACCAGTGGTACAAAATGATCTTTTCAGTGCTTACTGCAAGTCAAAGATTCCCCTCAAAATTTGATGAAAGGTTAAGTACAAATTCTGTGACCACAGCTTTGCTTTTGGTTCCCAGGGCTGATTTTCTGGGACCACAAACCAGAGGTATCTGGGCAAGATACTGGACTTTGCTGAAAGGCGAGTTTGCCTTCAGTGCCTCCGGCCTTCCATGACAGCAGCTTCTGTCTCCTGAGGGCACACGATGGACAGTCCAGGCCCACATGGCACTGCAGGCTGGAGTCACTACCTACTTCTGTGACTTACTCATCCTTCTCAACCAAGAGGTCCATCCCTCAGCCCTTCTCTCTGTCCCTTCCCAAAGTATCAGTCCTTGACCTCACGACCCAGCTCTCAACAATAGTACAAGCTCATGTGCATGGTTATTGATCATCAGTTAAGTTCAGTGCTTCATTTTCTCAAAAATATTTAATTCCCTGCTGTACCTCTGCAGCATTTAAGTAGGATACACAATGCCTCACCCAGAATAAGATATCCTTTTATGCTAGAATTTGGTGCATTTTGGAATATAGCACACTTATAATTCTCTGACCCTGACCTTATTTCACAAAACTGTACTTTTGTACAGCTATTTTCTTTCTGCGTAGAATGTCCTCACAGTCCACCTTGCCTGTCTGGTGAAATTCCTGCTCACTACTCGTAACTGTTTCCAAACATGACCTCCTTCCAGAAAACCTCCCGACTCTCAAACTGTGTTAACACAGGAGCCACTGACCACAGAAAACTCTCGAGCATATGAAACGTGAATAGTTCAGAGTTAGTATGTGCTAAAACACACGCCAGATATCTCTACAACTTAGTATAAAAAATGATCTCATCAATTGTGTTCACTTCATGTTACAATCCCAATATTTTGGATATATTGGGCTAAAAAATATATTATCAAAGTCAATTTCATCTGTTCTTTTGACTTTGTTTCAAGTGACTATGAGAAAATTTACAATTGCATATGTGGTTCGTGTTGGTGCCTTGGATTTCTTTTTCTTTCTTTCTTTTTTTTTTTCTCAGTTTTTGGCTCCTCTAGGCCACGGGTGCTGCCCAGGGCCTTGGATTCCTATCAAGCAGCAATGCTTGAGAGTCCAGACCAGTGGAGGGAGCTGGTGTGTGACTGTCCCTGCGTGTCTGTGAAATGGCACCTCAGATGTAAACCAATAATATAGTCAAGATAATCGATGAAGAACAGATATGTTAAATCTTCAATGGTTCACCAAGCAGTCTTCAACTTTCATCAATTTTGCTAAAATCCTCACTTCCCCCTCAACCATCCCTATTCCTGGGGACAAAGAAGAAACAGTGTGCTGGTGAATGTAAAGACTTTTGTTCAGTTGACCAGTCTCTGAGCAGATAAAGTGAAATATAATTTAGCTAAGCATAGTGAGGGTATAAGAAAAAAAAAAGAAAGAGTGGAAACGAACATCAGCTGTCACACACAGTGCTGAGTCTAACTGTAACCAGAATTTCCTGCACTGTACTCAGGGGAACACGCTTCTGAGGGATGTGTTGGGGTGGGGAGGGAAAAGGAGCTTCCATGGTCAAAATGGATCACAAAATGCTGGCTGAACAAAGACGGCCCGATGTCTTCATTGCAGGACTTTACAGAAACTTTAATACAGGCGTCCTCAAACTATGGCCCATGGGCCACATGCAGCCCACCTAGGACATTTATCCAGCCCGCCAGGTATTTTTGCTGCTGCTGCCAGTCCTGCTTAGCAGTCAACTCATCCCAGGCCTATAGTCCGGCCCTCCAACAGTCTGAGGGACAGTGAACTGGCCCCCTGTTTAAAAAGTTTAATAGGTCATAAAATACGTGATAGTGCAAAAGGAAAATTTGAATTCAATGTTTCTCAACTTACTGACTACAGAATTCTTTTGAGAAATAACTATCAATACCCTTGATTGGTAAATTTGTTACAATGTCGTTTAGCCTGCACCTTACAGGGAGAGGACTGAGGCTTAAGAAGTTAACTGACTGGCCCAACATTTCAATGTTACACAAACCAGTTAATGGCGGAGCCAAAATTCCAAATACGAGTTTAAACCAGAGGAAGGAATTAAAGATAGTAGGAAGAGGCAAACATCATCATGAATTCACCCTACATATAGAAATACACTTGACAACGACTAAGTCCCTGCATCCTGAGCTCACTGCCCTCAGTTCACTCTCTGTTCTTCCGATGAGAGACATATCCTCTTCTGAATTTCCCAGTACTCTTCCTTTGGATCTGGGCACATAATGCTTCATTGTCAGTTTTTTATACGTACATAGCTTATCTCTGCAAATAGACTAGACTCCAGTCACTAGAGGCTCACTGCGGTATCACTTTGAACTCCATGGCTTGCGTGCCTTTGCGGCTGGATAGAACTCTCTCTGTTAATTACCAGCCTGTGCGGCTTAGCTATTGGTCTCTGTTATCTTTTCACAACATCTAAATTCTACAGAAACACTGGCTCTTAGTTCAGAGACATCACATATTCGCCTAAGCTGCCAACCCGGTATAGAATAGCCTGCTGTTGAGGCTGACTTACCTGTAAAATGCAACTCATGATATCAGATGCGATTTTTGCGTGGGGCGTGTCTTCGTCTTTGCCGGAGGGTCTCAGGTTGTGTTCTAAACAGGAGTCCCAGAGCCCCACAAGGGCCTTGGCATGCTTTTCAATGGACTCTGTCTCCCTGATGGCTGTTGTGATTCTTGTGATACAGATTTCAACCACCGCCTGGTCATTGTTATTGGTTTGATAATCCTGTTTAGGAAAAGAACAAAGCTTCATGTTAAATAATACTCCAGAAAGGACAAAATACTAACTTGGTCTGTTACAAAATGGGTTCATCGGGCTGTGTGCTGAAGAGTGAGGGTGTAAAGCCCCATATAATAGGGCCTTCTTCACTGGAGATGGTGATCTGGTGGGAGAGGCCGGTGTGCAAACGTGCTGAAATGCAGCTGGTTCCTCTTGTCACTGAGGGATCAGGGGCAGTGAGAGTCCCAAGGAGCGTAACAATTCACTTGCAGGTAGGTTCAGTCTCCAGGTATTTCAGTTTCTAAGTCCATTACAGGTAGAAGTTTCTCCTAGGTCTGACATTTTAGGATTTTTTTGTGAATTATTTCAAATCACCCTCCACTTTCCCCTCCCCATGAGCGTTTTCTGTCTTTCTAAACACAATAGAACATAACATTTCATCTCTCCCCTTTTTACCAAACCCACTTTAGCTTTCCCCGGTCAGACTTTCCTCCATGCCCCTCAAATAGACCATCATCTTTACTGAGAGGTAATAGGACCCTCCAAAACATATAAATGTGAAAAATAGGCTGATCAGTTTAATTTGGAAAACTGGTCTGCCTGTGTACTCCACATGGTAGGGTCATAAAATGGAAACCATGACAGAGACACAAAGTGCTTAGAACCTGGCGTGGACATGCGCTGCCAGAGGTGCCAAGGAGGGCTGTTTCCATCCAACTGCAAGCTCCAGCTCTAACAGTCTCTCTTTCTTTCTTCTTTTTCTTTCTCTCTTTCTTTCTTTTCTTTCTTTTTCTTTCTTTCTTCCTTCCTTCCTTCCTTTCTCTCTCTTTCTTTCTTCTCTCTCTCTTTCTCTTTCTCTCTCTGTCTCTCTCTCTCTTTCTTCTCTCTTTCTCTTTATCTCTGTCTCTCTTCCTTCCTTCTCTCTCTCTCTGTCTCTCTCTTTCTTTATCTCTGTCTCTCTTTCTTTCTTCTCTCTCTCTCTTTCCTCCCTCCCTCCCTTTCCCTCTCTCTTTCTCTCTCTCTCTCTTTTCTTTCTTACTACTATAACTAATAGGCAGTAAACATTTTGTACGTGAAGTCCTCTCTACATTGCAAGTTATTTATAGCCTAGATTTTCCAGAAGTGGAAATTTCTGAGACAAAGGACAGAAATACTTTCAAGGCTCATGATACATACAGCTAAGCTGGGTTCCAGAAAAGCCTTACTAATTTAAACTCCCATCAGCTGGAATATCCTCATTGCACATTTGTGCTAGCAGAGTATTTTTAATTTTTGCTAATTTTATCAGAGAAGAGCAGTGTCTCATTGCTGTTTTACTTAGACATTTCCTTGACTACAAGTGAGGTTGAATGTTTCTGCATGTTTATTGGTCATCTGCGATTTCTTTTTTGGGAACTACTCACTGGACCTTACATCTATATGTCTATTTTTCTTTAGATGATGACTTTTTTTTTTGGTGTTCTTTGATGCAATATCTTTTTTTGTTAGCGTATGAAGTATATCAACATTTGACACTTGATTGCAAATATGTCTCCATGTTTTATTATTTCTAGGGCTATTTTTTCTGCTATTCATTGACATGCTAAGATTTTAGGTAATCAAATCAGTCAACTATTTGGCATTTCATTGTTGTTGTTGTTGTTTTTTCCCTCAAACTGGAAATTTAGGTTCTTTAAATTATTTAGTTTGGCTCAGTGCCTGTGGCTCAAGTGGCTAAGGCGCCAGCCACATACACCTAAGGTGGCGGGTTCGAATCCCCAGCCCGGGCCCGCCAAACAACAATCATGGCTGCAACCAAAAAATAGCCAGGCGTTGTGGCGGGCGCCTGCAGTCCCAGCTACTTGGGAGGCTGAGGCAGGAGACTCGCTTGAGCCCAGGAGTTGGAGGTTGCTGTGAGCATGATGCCATGGCACTCTACCCAGGGGGATAGCTTGAGGCTCTGTCTCAAAATGTCAACCACCCTAGTCCTTTTCCCCAGTGGAAACCAGACTCAGCAATACCTTATGTACTTGGCAGAAGCATTCTGAGAAAATGCAGACATCGTGCTCTTTGTGTGCTACCTTTAACAGCTTTGCTTAAACTTCAAAATTTTCTTTTCCTTATTCAAGTGTTTAATAAAACCTCTATTTATTCCAGATTAAAAAAAACTTGACAAAACAGTCAATGTTTATTTTAGAAGTTAATCTTTTAGCTATTCACTTAGCTTTCAACTTTATCTGGTATTTATGGAGGTAAGTAAAGATGGACATCGTTTTAAAAATAGCTAATCGACTGGGTGCAGTGGTAGCACACTGGGAGGCCAAGATGGCGAATTGCTTGAGCTCAGGAATTTGAGACCGGCTGAACAAGAGTGAGACCCCCATCCCTACTAAAAATAGAAAAACTAGCCAGGTGTTACAGCAGACACCTGTAGTTCTAGCTACTCAGGAGGCTGAGGCAGGAGGACTGCTTGAGCCCAAGAGTTCAAGGTTGCTGTGAGCTATGTCACCCTGACACTCTATCAAGGGTAACAAAGTAAAACTCTGCCTCAAAATAAATAAGTAAATAAAGCTAACCTAATTTTCCCACCATTGTTTATTAAATAATTCATTTCTCAGTAATTGTTTTATGCATTTTGAAGGCTGTCTTTTCTGTTTGTGTGTGCCATTTCTCAATTCTTTCACAATACTAATTTCGTCACTTTCCTGATATAAGCACCACAAAATTTTAAAGGTGTATTTTAAGTCCTAGTGTATTTTATGTCTTTTTTTTGTTGCTGTTAACAGAAACATTAGGGTTTTGTGGTTCTCATTAGAACTCTTAGTTACTATTGATTAGATGAAACTATTGCTTTTTGCATTGATTTTGTACCCAGCTGTTTAGCTCAACTACTCCTACTTATAATGAATTTTCAGCTCATTCTCTTCAGTTTGCTAAAAAGATTTCTGTATTTTTTTTTTTTTTTTGAGACACAACCTCAAGCTGTCCCCCTGCGTAGAGCGCTGTGGCATCATAGCTCACAGCAACCTCCAACTCCTGGGCTCAAGCGAGTCTGCCTCAGCCTCCCAAGTAGCTGGCACCCACCACAGGCACCCACAGGCACCCACCACAATGCCCGGCTATTTTTTTGTTGCAGCCGTCATTGTTGTTTGGCAGTCCCGGGCTAGATTCAAACCCACCACCTTAGGTGTATGTGGCTGGTGCCTTAGCCACGTGAGCCACAGGCGCCAAGCCAAAATTTCTGTATTTTAAGCAACAGAGATCTACAGCTTTTATATATCTCATGGCTTCTTATCCCAGCTAAAATTTTCTAAGCTATTCCACAGAAAATTGGAGCAAGAATGCTTGTTTAGTTCCTGGTTTTAATTCCTGAGTTTTGATATAAATTTTTGTCAAATTTTTATATCAAAAATTTGATTTAAGAATAATGTCAAATTAAAAAAAAAGAAAATACAGCAAATGCTTTAAGGCATTTATAACACATCATTTTCTATTTCAAAGTTTATATAGTAAGCATTATGTAGGCTTTTTGGGTGAAGTAGATATTTTATCATATTATAACGTGCAATATTAAAGAAGGGTCAATCTACTATTTTAGTGAGCTGAGTTTTTAATCAAGAATGGATAGTAAATTTCATGAAATGCTTTCCTAGCATCTATAGATGTAACATTTTTGTCCCCAGATCTATCTAGATGATAAATTATAAAAACAAATTTCCCCATATTAGTTAACTTTTCATTCCTGGAATATATCTTACTAGAGTCTGGGAAATAATTTTTTAATGTGAGGCTGAATTCTGGTTTTGATATTTTATTTAAAATTGTTGCCTCTATATTTGGCCTTCATGTTTGTCAAGCTTCATATCAATTTTATGCTAATTTCATAAAAGGATTTTGGAAGATTTGAACTCTCTGTAATCTCATTTATTATTTGACCTTGATGTGTCATGACCCAAGAGAAGTGAATTAAAATTTCCTGCAGCTAATGTGTCTATCTGATTTTTCCTGGTATCCCCTGGAATTATTGGTTTATAAATGTTATGGTTATTAAATGCTATGTAATTTAACGTCTAGATAATCATTATAACTCTTGTGGACTGAATTCTTTGGCATAAAAAGTGCCTTTTTGTTTTCTTTAATACTTTCTGGCATAATTTTTTCTTGTCTGGTATAAAGATTATGATTCACATTGGTTTTGGTTTGCATTTGCCTCACATCATTTGCATATTTTATTTTTATTTAAAATTTCTTTTACAGCCTATGTTGCATAAAATAAATAGATGTTAACCCCTTTTGAGATAAATTTGTAGAAAACAATTGAATAGTCATTATTCAATGATTCTTAATAGACAAAAATATGCCTAGTATGTAAGTATGCAAAAATAAGAAGGAAATACTTTACTTAGTCATCTTCTGATTCCAAAGCGTTCTATTATAATCAACAGGTGTAGCAAGGGAATACACACAAAGCCCACAGATTTTCACTTGAGGACAGAGGGGCCTCCCTTAGAGAACAAGTAGGCAAACCGCTTCTCAGAAGTTTCAGCAAAGTGATTGGTTTTTATTAGCATTGATTTTCTATCTTAAAGTATCATTTCTTGTGCTCTATCCAGTAATTTGACATGGCGCCAAATAAATCCCCCAAACAAAACCAAAACAAAAAAAGCCAAACCAAAGTCAAGCAAGACCAACCAGCCTATCTATTAGGTTTGGACATAGGACATAGTTTTGTTGTAAAATGTTTGGCTTTAATTCAAATTATTAACATGTGTTTTACAACCAAGTAAATCAGTGTTTAAGTTTCCATCTTTTTTTGTATTTCCTAAATCATTTTCTTGAACATGTCTCTTCTTTGCTGGATTATGCCTTGTGATTCAATCTAAAAGTCTTTTTTAAAAATAATAGGTGAGTTTTTGCTCATTTACATAAAGTGATGAGAGAGATATTTTTGACTTTAAATGTATTATATTATGCTTTTGATTTTTCTTAAGTTTCGAAGTTCAAATATTTTACAAGGAAGTGGTACA